TGATTTAATCAAGATAAACCGATATAAAAATGCTTTTTATAATAAAATGTGCCATTTCGATTTTTATAATGCATAAAATAATAATAATAAAAAAAATAAGAAGAAACATACAAAGCTGAAAAACTACTTTAGATTATTTTTAGAATTCGCGATTAAAATCTAATTATAAAATTATATACCTTGATTTGTGTATTTTACATATATTTATTTGCACATTTTACTTCTTTAAAGATTTTCTGTTTTCTACAAAGATAAAATAATAAATAAAATTCTGTCCCGAACTTTATCGTCAAGTATATTTGTCTAGATCGATATTGATTGTCTGATAAACTTGATAACAGTTCTTAATAAACGTGAGTGTCCTCGATTAGTATAATCGACATTCGTATTAAAATTTCGTATTTTCCTCACGTTTATAAATTCTAAAGAATTTCGACGAGTTTAAATTGTATAGAAGTTAAGTTTGTCTATTTTGTATATCAAATGGTAAACGAATTTATTTAGAGGAGCTTTTTTATTGAAATTATAAATTAAATAGTTTCAAAAAATAATGTGATTGTTTAAAGTATTAAAAAATGTCAGAGATTAAAAATTGAAGTTGAAAGTAGGGGAAAAATTTCGATTCGAATCCGAAAAGAAATCTCTTCGAGAGCATGTTATGATGTAATCAAGAATAATATAAATAATATAAAATAAATAATAATATAAAAAGTAATATAAAAAAATAATAATATAAAATAATATAAAAATAATAACAATAATATAAAAAAATAATAATAAAATAATAATAATCAAAATAAGAAGAAATATACAAAGCTGAAAAACTACTTTGGATTATTTTTAGAATTCGCGATTAAAATCTAATTATAAAAATATACTCTGGTATGTGTATTTTACATATATATTTATTTTATTTCTTTAAAGATTTTCTTTTCCATCCAAGACCCTTAAAATAATAAACAAAATTATGTCCCGAATTTTGTCGTCAAGTATAATTTATCTAGATCGATGTTGATCGTCTGATAAACTTGATAACATCCCAATAAACATAAGGTATGCGAGTGTCCTCGGTTAGTATGATCGACATTAGTTCGTATCGAAACACCGGATCACTTTATGAAGCGAGGGAGGCAGGAAGGGGGTGAGTTTCATGCGCTGCGTCGCATGTGTGTGTGCGTGTATGTGCGTGTGTGTGTGTGTGTGCATACGTGCGTATACACGTGTAACGCGAATCCTATAAAATAAAATAAAGTACATGCGGCGGTGTATAACGAGGGGGACGAGAGGGGGGGCGGTCAGTACCGTGCTGCTGAATAAAAAAATAGCCCCATTAATTCGTCGGCTTATGTCTCGCAGTCACACGTTCTCACAGCGAGGGCGTCACGCGACGCGTGTCACCTTTGTGTGCGTATACGTGTTACTCTTTTTACGTTCCTGACAAAAATTCGAGAATCATGCTACGTGAACGACATCGAACGAGCATTCACGGAAAGCGAACCGCCCTGGATAAGCTTTCGAGAATATTTACGAAGCGTTTAGTCTCGTTTATTCCTTCCTTTCACGATGAAAAACTCGATACGTGCTCGAATTATACACTTGAAAACTTGAAACACTTTTCCAAATGCAATCTTGAAGGCTTGGGGAAAATACGCTGCTTTATTTTATTTTATTTTAATAGTGCATCATTAAAGGATTAATTGTATTCCATTTTAAATATTCGTCGTAAGTTCCGTTTTTATATTTATAGCGTTTATAGTTTTTTCTTCTTTCTAAATTTAATAAGAGCAAATTCTAACATCCATAAGTCCTACGATTAAATTGCATGTGACTCATAAACGTGAGAATCCGCGAATCTCCCATCAAAGATAAATATGATGACCACGTGCTTTGCCTGTCAGAAATAAAATAAAATCCCTCAGTGTTTTGTCCCCAACGAAGGGAGAGGACAAAATAAGAGATGCCACCCACGATCCTAGTCGGAGCCGCCAGCCAATTTTATCGTGGATAGATTGGAGAATTATCAGGCGACCCCGTGAAAAATTGTCGCCGCTCGATGACATAATGCATATGCAGCTCGACGCATACTGATGGCACGTGCGCGTTTCCGAAAAGCCTCGAAAATCCTTGTACAAAATATAATCGTGTCCTTTCCTTCGTTATCATCTTACAACGACGTTTTTTACGTGATTTGTTTCGATTATGAATTATGGAAAAACGACGCTTTATGGCTTGTGGCGCCTTGATGTTCCAGGGAATGCGACGCCTGTGAATTTTCCCATAAATCGTCAATCTTCTTCGAGTCCCATGCATAGGACGCCGAAGATGATTTCCTCGAAATTATGCTAATTACATTCTTGGAAACACGTGCTTCTGTGTCGGAACGTGTCGCGATGCGATCCTTAAACATGCGGAATTTTCGTCGCCGATGTTATCGGTTTCGCAAAAGGAATCGATGAACCGTCAGCAGCGATTAAGCGAGACAAGATAATTCACTTTAGGACTAGAATCGCGTGTCGCACATTCTCGATTTCCCTTCGATTATCGAATGCAATTTATCGATGCGTTCGAGATACATATTCGTTTCTATGTTTTCAATATAGGAGATAGTTTAGATTTCTTTTCATGTGCGAATGTATTCTGGTATATCACTTGGTTGGTCCAAGATCGTACACTTTTAAGATACAATCTAACTCGACGCGCACCGATGTTCTTGAAATAATATACAGATTAATAAATTATATTAATCTAGATCATTGAAAACCGGCTGGTTCAAAAACTCCCGGAAGAAGCTTCTTCTATCGTGCTTATAATCTACGTAAGAAGATCATTCGTATGAAAAATTCAGAATCCTTTTTGTAACAAATATAATTTGCGGAATTACAAAACATCATTTTAGCATTAATGCGATGTTTTGATTTGATATGACAAATTCGAAATGATGTATGTATTTTCATGCGATAAGATTTTATTTCCACAATTATGTAAATCTTGAAATCTCTTTAAAATTATAATTTCGAAAAATTCTATAAAATATAAAAATTAAAAACTCTATATTTAAAAAAAAAACAAATTTGTATATCATTTCCAAATCAAAATCTTTCGCATTAATATTAAAATAACGTTTTGATTCACAAATTTTGATATCACAAATTCGAAATAATTCATGTATTTTTATGCGATTTTACTTTAACGTAATTCTTGAAATTCTCTTCAAAAATTATACTTCCGCAAAATTCTATAAAGTATAAAAATTAAAAATTTTATAATTCTATAATTTTATAAACTATAATTCCTAAAAATTACTCTATAACAACATGTAGTAAAATTCTGTCGCACAAGAATATGTATATCGTTTCCAAATTAAAGTGCGTCTTTTGTATTAAAATAACATTCTGATTTTGCAGTTCTCGAGATAAAATATTTCGCGTTTTATTTTTTATTTTAATTTTTTCATATTTATGGATGTCAAACAATTTCAATAATTAATTTATATAAAAATTAAACTTTTAATTTACATAAAAATTTTTATATAATTATTTACATAATTTATATAAGAATTAAACTTTTTTATTGTTTAAAAAACTACATTTTGTATCTTAAAGTAGCAAACAAACAGTTAAAGTTTCCCATTTAGAAATTTAAAAGAAAAATTTGCAACAAACCTTCATTTCAAATGAAGCTTAAATAATTTCAAAGGAGAGAGTGATTTGATAACTACTCACGAATTAAAATAGATTAAAGATGGAGATCGAAAGTAGGAAAGTAGGAAAATTTCGAATCGCGTGACTCTGCAAACTTTATTATACATTAATATATATAATAAATAACGTAGTAAAATCACGTTACGATAAACACGGCACCGAGTATGTTTGAAGGACGGGATAGAAACTCGCGACGGGCGGGCGACGTCATTTTCATGCGCGCTTCCATCCCGTCGAGGCGTGAAGACGTTACTCAAAATGTACAGCCATTAACTTGGCATCCTACGGAAACTGCCGTTCCTGAATTAACAAGTACTCGAATGTGCGCCCGTACATCACACGAGGTGTCACACGCCGCTTCAGGGAATCGTTTCCCTCGATCTCGGAAGCCGTTCACGAAGCGACCGTCTATTCGGGAGGGGCGCATGCGCGCGATTAACATTTTAAATATGCACGGTTCGTCAACGAAAGAGTATTCGATTCCCCCGAAAACGCACGTTATTACGAATACGAAGGTGTTGCGGATTTTGTCGTTTGTTTGTTAATTCTGAAAGCAACGAGGTAGATTTATTTATGTTTTTACGCAGGAGAAGATTGAGCGGTGTGTTACATTAATCAATATTTGACAATTGATATTAATTTAATCCTATTCTAATTCTTAATACTCTTAATTTATTATTTAGTATTGATTTTTTAGTGATTATTTAGTATTGATTTTTAGTATTTTTAATTTATTATTTAATATTAATTTTTACGCAGGAGAAGATTGAGCGGTGTGTTATATTAATCAATATTTGACAATTGATATTAATTTAATCCTATTCTAATTCTTAATACTCTTAATTTATTATTTAGTATTGATTTCTAGTATTTTTAATTTATTATTTGATATTAATTTTTAATATTTATTTTATTTTTATATAATATTTTAGATAAGGATAGATAATAGATAGGATATAATAGATAGATTAGGTAGATTTAATTATCTTAATTTTAATTGTTACTATTTTTAATTTATTATTTTTTTAGTATTGATTTCTGATATTTTTAATTTAATATTTGACATTAATTTTTAATAGTTTTTGTATTTATTTTATTTTTATACAATATTGAGTTAGGTAGAATATAAATCGAATCATCTAGGTTAAGAATATTCGCACCTCTTGCGTTATCAATATTATTTTCCTTAAATTAAATTAGATTAAATTAAATTTTTTTTAGATTTAATTTCTTTAAACATTATTTTCTTCAATATTCTTATCAATATTATATTTCTTTCAGATATAAAATTGCGGCAATAATTAAGATCGCTCGCGATGGGTATCGGGATTCATCCAATTGGACGAAAAACGTGGACACACAAGCACATGTGAATCGGCGGATATAAGGTAAATATTTTATTACAAATGTAACTTGACATTCGATTGTATCGCGCGATAATCGAGCTCGTTAACGAGTCATTAAGTCGACAATAAAAAAAGGTCCGGTTGACTGAATTATACGACGGTAAAAATGGAGACGAGCAGCAAATTTGTCCATGTAAATTAATACATTCGCGTAGATTAATAAATTTTCAGAGACAGATGTTCCTCCCGAAGAGAGAAACGTCAACGATCCCAATTTATTCACCTGCGTACAAAATAACGAAATTAATTCTCTTGAATATTAATTAAATCATCATGCATATACTTGTGATAAAACTATAATGATTTCTCTCTCTTCGCGATTCATTTCTTCCTCTTTCACGGAATTAAGAAAGGCAAGTTTATTCCATCTGGTTTCCTCTATCGCGCTTCACGTTGGATCTTTTATTATACGATGTAATTTGCTGGATTTTTTTATTATACGATGTAATTTGCATATTTACGTTAAACGTAAATAACATGCTCGTTTGTAACATTATTCTCTTTCTTTCTCATCTAGTTCGTTTATTATACGCGCTACATTGCAAATTAAATTTGAAACAGCCGTGTGGGACTTTGATTACGACGGAGAATTTATATGAGAGAGCTCTCACGAGAATAGGCGGAGGTCGAGTTGTGCGAAATGAGTTCCGCGGATGCATGTATCTTCGATACGCAGAATTACAATCCTCGCGTAGGACAGAAAATGAGCGAGGGGAAAAAAAGGGGGCGGCGGGGGGGAAGGGCCGGGGGTGCAGAATCGATAATGGACTGTCACGGGTGCGTGCTCGTTAGGCTCTCCTTCGTGTTTCTTTGCAATCCGGTGCACGATAAGCGCGCGCCGAGGTGTGCGAATGTCAGAGGCGCGCTCGAATCAGCTGTGCGCGACGTAGAGGGCGCGCTCTCCCCCCCCTCTCTCTCCCGGAGCAGCCTTGGGAGGGAAGGATCGCGGACGGACGGAGAAGAGGATTCGAAACGTCGCGAATAAAACAAAAGCGCGTTCGCAAAGCGAGAGAGCGTCGTCGGCCGAGCGAACGAAGGCGGATACGCAACCTAACCTAACCTAACAACCTAACCCAACCCGATGCGCGCGCGCGCGCTCACCCACACGACGTCGGGGGCGATACCTAGGCGTCGGGAACACGAAGGAAAGGTTGCGTAAAAGGGTTCCGAGCCAGATACACACGCGACGAGCGGAGAAGGAGGCGACCGACACGCGATGTAGCGTGTACGCGGCGCGGCGCGCGCCCATTGGTCGGCCGTTGGCCGGGGCGTCCATGGCAGCGCGTCTCCCATTGGGTCGCGCGCCGTTTTAACAAGGCTCTCTTCGCCACAGACGAAATAATAAACCGCCGTTTGCGCGCTCGCGACAGAGCCCTCTCCCAGGTATATGTTTATTTCTCTCTAATCCTCTCCCTCCCTCCTCTTCCTCCTCCTCCCCCCCGTCCCGCTCCCGAGCGCGCGGTTCTTCGCGCTACTCTTTCGCCTCCCACCCACCCCCCACCCCCTCTCTCTTTCTTCTTATTCAGCGGCTAATGATAAAGTGCATTAAAATACGTACGAATTTGAGGAGCATTGTCGGCGAGGACCGTGCCTGCGACACGTACGCGCGAGCCAATAGACGCGATTGGCTACCACGTGATTCGAAAAATGGACGTACGGTTTATTTAATGCTCATTAACGCGGTAAAGACCGATGATGTAATACTACCGTAGTGCTACGTAGGCGATATTACGTCAACAGACTTTCATGCGTCGGGAATATTTGTACAGCGAGTGGGAATAAAGCGAGGAGTTTCGCGGACTCGAGCCACGATAGTCGATTCGATTTCATAAATTAATTAAATTGGCGCGGTTTTTTTAAGAGGATACAGGAGAGGAAAAGGATTCGCGGACGGATCCGAAGTTTCTCAGGACAAAATAATTTCCTTCCTCAAGTTTGCGCGGCCCCGAAACAAATGTCGCACCCCGTAGAATATTGTAATGAATTCGCGAATAATCGACCCCGACTGATTCTCCATTTCTCCGCGAAATCGAATTGCTTTTTACAACAAAAGCGAAGCGGAACTCTGGAGTGTACTCGTTTTCGGGAAGGGTTAAGTTAAAGAGAGATAGAGAGAGATAGAGAGAGAGAGAGAGACATTCTCTCATTCGAGGCGGCGTATTTTCGGGCAAGATTCCAAATGAGTTTTCCCGACACTCACTTATATACGCGCGGAACTGGTTCTTGTCTGCTCGCTAAATCGCGTGCCTGCACTTTAATAGGTTCTCTCTCGGCGGAGTTGCATGGAAAGTTGTTTGAAAAAAGAAGCACGGCCCGCGCCATGCGCTGTGCACATCGGGAGTAAAACACACGGTATAATTGAACGAGTCCCCTCCCCCCCTCCCCCTCCTCCGCTCTGTCCCTTCGTTCCTCCCCCGTGGCATTTACATACTTTCGCATTAATCAGACATCAGATCTGGTATCTATCTCGTCGATCGAGGGCGCAAATTATCCTAGATCCTTCCGACGACTCGTATTTGCGTAATCCCTCGATGGGTGTCTTTTGCAAATTCCATTCGCGAGACGCGGAATCTTCCTCGTGCAGATCCCAGTGATCTAAATCTTTCAATTCTTCGCGATTCTACAAGAGAAAAAATTTAGAATTATTAGTCTGGAATTTAACAATTTATATAGAATTGTCATTTTTCATGAATTACGCTACGTTTTTAAATTGTGTTCATCTTGATACGTAGTCGTGAATTGGGAAAAATTTAGTGTTATTTTTAGGATGTATACTCTTGGGAAAAGACCTGAAATTCTCAGGGAATTCTCATTTTGTTTTATCCTAAAAATCAAAGAATTTTTATAGAATTTTATTGGGACTCAAAGAATTTTGTAAAAATTGCTTCTTTGATAATTTGTAAATTTTTAAATTCAATCTTATTTCTAGGATGTATACTCCTTGAAAAATCTAAAATTCTCTGAGAATTCTCATTTTGTTTTATCCTAAAAATCAAGGGATTTTTATAGAATTTTGTTGGGACTCAGGAATTTTTAATTGCTTCTTTGATCATTATTTTAATATTATAAGTGGTCTGCAATCTGCTATTTTGTGCTGTTATTGAAACCTAATCAGCACTAATACATATATTACATATTATTCAATATGTTCAATATAAATATTTATTTTAAAAAATACATTTAATAAAAAATATGAAATTCTCTAGATTTAAAATATATTAAAATATGTTTTATTTATGTTAAAGCATAAAGTTCACGCGCAATAAATAAATTTATTTTAAAATTATCTTTTTACACTAAAATATCTGAAAAATCATAAAATTCTCGGGGAATTTATTTCCAAGATTCGAGTATGCACCCTGTATTCTTTATTTTATCCTCTCTGAGAATTTTTCCTAGGAAAATAAAATTCTTACCGGAAATAAGTTTAATTGCACAATTTATCGTCCTTTTGTTCGATTATAAATGCTGTATCAAAACTATAAGAGCGATAGATCTGCGAGAGAGAAAAACAGAGCGTCGAAGAAGTACGTTCTGCAAATTCATACCTTATCGTCCTTCAAACACGAGAGATGACAAGGATATTCATATAATAAAATTTACAGATTATTCCGACATTAAGTAAATGACACGCGAACCGCATAAATCTCGATTTAATGAATCTAACTGGATTTATACACCGTATAAAAACTTTCCCAGCTCTTTATAACTTCATAAGTATATAAAGTTTATCCCTTTGTCATGTCCTGTTGTGTTTACAATGGATGAAAATCGATTGTTTCGCCATTTATTTTCTACCTGTTGTATTATTCTCTTTTCTTTCTTTCTAATAATTCGATTTCTCTTCTTTTCGAGTTCCATTAAATAATCAAGCCTATATTAAATTATTAGAATGCAATATTAAATATATTTGTCACTTTCCGGTACGATTTTTCCTTTTTTTTTCTATTTAAGACTGAATTTACAAGCTAAAGTCGCAGGAATGAGACGGCCATTTCGCGACGAGATGTTTCTCCAATTTTTTTCACAATAAATAGCCACGCGATAACTCACGAGAGGCTTGCCATAATTTCACGCGTTTAACATCAAGGCCCAGATCTAACGACACACTTCCGAATGTCTCCGATGCCGTCTGAAGGATATTATTTTCGGCGGGGCCACGAAATTTCGGTCCTCGGAAAGCCGGCCGATTGTAAACAAGGGCTAATCAGCTCGACACGAGCCGTTAAGATTAGGGAGGGACAAGCCAACGGGATTCGGTATGCAGCGTGGATCACGTTTTTAAGGAGGTATCTTCCGAGAAATAAAGGAAGAGAGAGAGAAAGAGACTCGAACAAGACTACGGAAGATGAAGAGAGATAAAAAGAGAGAGCGATAGGGGGAGAGAAAAAAAAATGTCCAGGCGTGTGTGGTTTTACGCGGCTCGTGTGTCCGCTTGTTCGAAATAAAAGCGGACGCCCGTGGAATTTCCGTCAACTAGCCCCTCCGCTTTTTTAACGTCGCCTCCCGAACCGGTCGGGAAATTATAATTCGTCCGATCGCAGATTGGCCCCGTGGGCCCTCGGGACGAGATGCGATACTCCTCGCGACTCTCGTCTTACATCATCCCTCAAAATTCTTCCATCGTTCCGCCGCGGATTCGTAAATTCCGTCAGAAAATTTTTGCGGCTTCAATCACGCATCAATAATGCACAGGGAAAGGTGAAATTAATCAGCTGTCATTCTTAAACACATCTAGAGAAAGTAAAATATTTTCTTATAGAGGATTTTTAGCAATTTTATTTATTTATATGGAAAGATAATTGGAGACGTTTTTATCATTTAATAAAAAAAAAATGTTTTTTTGATATAATAAATTTTCAAGTTTCTTTCGGAAACTGTGAAAAATTTTATGTAATATTTTTTTTATACTATTCATCACGAAAGAGACTTGATATTTAAATTCTAATCGTTCAAGTTAGCTTTGAAAATTCTTACATCATTAAGAGAATTTTTTTGATCGATTCTTTTATCAAAATTTATTAAATGATACAAGTATCTTCCATTATCTTTATTTATATGTAATTAAAATTGCTAAAATTGCTTGTCTTTTATTGGAAGATATTTTATTTCCTCTGCTCTTTATTTGCGTTTCAAAATAACATCTGATTAATTTCAGTCTTTCCTAGGAACCTTGTATTTTGGAATTGTATTTTAATATTTAAATAGAAAGAGAGGCAACACTATACAAATAATATTGTTTTTATCCATTGCGACAAATATTACTTGACTCTCTTGCATTATTTCGATCAAATTTTTGTATTATGAAAAAAATAATAATTTTTATATAATAATTAAATGATAATTTGTATATAATATTATATAATATTTTATATGAAATATTTAAATAATAATTTTTATATTAAAAAATAATAATAATTTTCTATGACATTTTATTTAACGATGTAATAGATTAACACAATATCAATCTTTATTCTGGCTAGTTTGGTCGACTACATTTTTCAACAATCCTTTGATTATTCGACTAGCGATATTAAGATATTTATTAATCAATCTTTATTTTTACACATTAAAAAAATATCTATAATAATATTCAAGATTGCAAATTTTTAAACATTTATTATATTAAATTAGTTGTCTTGAGAGGAAGCTACATCCTTTCTTTTCGAATATTATTAATCAATTGACAATCTCGATAATATTTTACACTAAATCGCGTTGCGGAGTGACTTTGTTGGTTTGGTTTCGAAAGCGAGCGAGACATTTCGGTGCGCGGCGCTGTCGAAAATGAAAAATCGTCCGCTTAATGGGCAATATAATAATTAACCGTTTGACCCACGCCCTATCTAACGGGAGTAAAAGGAGGAGATGGAATAAGGAGGCAGGGACCTCGTCTCTCTCGTCCGGACCTTACCTCACTTAGCAGCGATTTGATGCATTTAAAGCGGACCCACCTGGTGAGCGCCGCTTCATTTTTCCCAAACTCCATTAGCCGCCCGTACAATTATCTCTCTCCCGCTCCCCGCGGCTCCCGCCCACGATCTATCTCCTTCTCTCTCTCTCTCTCTCCGTCCGGGCTATTGTATTGGAACCCAAGGATTTACACCGTGATGAGCAGCATGACGAGAGAAATGCAAATATCGGCCGAAATTTCACGCGGCATTCCAGCCCGAAAACGTTCCTTTGTGTCGGCTCATCTGATAATGTCGCGTTTCTGATTGAACGGATCGTTCATATTTATATTAATTCTCGCGCGTGTCACCTTTTCCACGCGGAAGGAGAGGAGACCGGTTCCCCGTCGTCGATGATAATTGATGTATATTATAATCAGCTGCGCGCGAGGTGTATAATTTTGCGTCATTTTTACGGAATTTGTGAAATTACAGATATCTGTCTCCGATTAAATCGCACTCTCGACGATTGAGAGCGAGGGGAAGGAGGATCCTCGACCTTGGAGCCCGAGTTTCCGGCAGCTTTCATCCATTACGAGACGGCCCACGCAGCTCAAGAGAGAGAGAGAGAGAGAGAGAAGGAGGGATGTTCGATCGACGTATCTCTTCGGCGCGAGGTATGTATTATATTAGCATAAACCTAATATGCCACGCGAGGGGCACAATGCGTTATTAGAGGAGGCCGTGGAACGGGCCCCGTAGATCCTACGATACGATACGTCACAGGCCGCGTATATGCTCTACTTAACATAATATAATTGACCACACGCAGTCCAATGGATTTTGCATAGTAAACAAAACGTATTGTTCCGCCACGGACGTTCGAGGATTATCCTCCCGCGTCTCGCGAAATAATGAGGTTTTTTTTTTCTCTTTACTTTAATCGCGCGATGACAATGCAGGAAATTATTATATGCATTATTCAAATCTCGAGCACCTCGAGAACCTGAGGAGCCCTCGTTTGCATCTTGACTCTCGGACGCTTCCGCTTAAGATACCGTGTGTCGAAATTTTGTGTTTCTACTTTCAATCTTAATTTTCTTACGTTTATGAATTCCAGAGGATTTTGATAAGTGTAATTTATATAAAAATGGACCTTCTATTTTGTATCTTAAGCAGGCAATAGATAGTTTCTCATTTGGAGATTTTTAAAGAGGAGCTTTCAGTAAAATTGTATATTAAATAATTTCAAAAGTAGATGTTAGATTGAAAAGAGATAAAAGAAATTTTAACTCGGTTATTTTTTAATACAATATTAATATTAATATATAATTCATATAAAATGGACCTTCTAATGGACCTTCTTTGTACCTTAAATAAGCAATGGATAGTTTCGCTTGGAAGTTTTTAAAGAGGAACTTTCAGTAAAATTGTAGATTAAATAATTTCAAAAGTAGATGCTAGATTGAAAATTGATAAAAGAAATTTTAACTCTGTTATATTTCTTTATAATTCATATAAAATGGATCTTTTTTATACCTTAAATAAGCAATGGATAGTTTCTCTTGGAGGTTTTTAAAGAGGAACTTTCAGTAAAATTGTAGATTAAATAATTTCAAAAGTAGATGTTAGATTGAAAATAGATTTAAAAAAATTTTAATTCTGTTATATTTCCTTATTGTGGATATCAAATTTGTTTAATAGGATTAGGAATTGTTTAGGATTATAAGGAATATTATTAATCAAAATTATCATAAACAGAATTTTAGGTTTAACGAGTATTATTAATCAATTTTGTGGATTAAATATTTTCATGGTTTTTTAATATATTGATACAATATAGATGAATATAATTATGTACGTGAATGTCGATCAAAAAATGAAATTTATATTATTCGATCAAATTTATACAAGTTGCAAAAAGTTCAAACTGAAATATTCCCGCTATTTTTAATTTCACGTTTGCGAATTTTAGAGGATGTCGCATAAAATAATTAATTAATTTATAAAAAATTTATATAAAAATTAGCTCTTCTTTACTTTCTCTCAAAGATGCAGTAAAGGAATTATAGTTTTCTCGGTGCTTTAAAAAAAAGAATATTTTTTTCGGCGAAGTTATATCCTTTAAATAGTTTTAAAGAAAGATGATTTGACTGGATGGTCAAGGCATCAAAGTAGAATATCTTAGATCGAAAATCAAGATCGAAAGTAGGAGAGAAATACCTTGGGGCGAAAAAAATGGTGAAAGTTTGCGCGGGTCAGGCACGGCTGGGGCGAGTTTGACAGAAAGCGCGGGAGGCATCCGCGCTAAAGTGGCGAGTCCGTTAAAGAGCGCAAAAAACGGCAACGATTCCGCAAGCGGCAACGGAAAGGAAAGAGTGTCGGGAATGATAATGAGAGATGGTTGCAGCGCGATAATCGCCGTCGAAGTCTCTCTCTCTCTCTCTCTCTCTCTCGGTCGCGGGCCTACGCGTCTCGTCTTTGAACGTATGTACGGCATCGGGAGTGAGTTTCGTGATTTTTTTCTCTTTCTTTTCTTTTTTTTTTTCGACGCTTCTTCTCACCGACGAGTCCGCTGCCGGACCCCCCGGTGCGTTAACGGAACCCGATCGCGAGGAAGGGAGGACGATCGTCCTTCGTGCGTAGTCCACGCATGCATACGTCGTACCTGGACATTCCATTATCGGGCTCTCGCCAGTCCCGATCGGTGATCTCCATCGATCCTCCTCGTCTCGCTCTTTCTGGTATGCCAACTCGAAAATCCGTAGACCGGTCGCTTGAATTTTTCGAGATTAATAATTATCCTTCGGCGGAGTCGAAATTTATCTCGTCTTTGCTGGAAAGAGAGAGAGAGACAAATTCAATGCAGGCTTTATTTACGCGTCTTTTCTTCCTCGGAAACCATAGTCGACGCGGTGCAAAACGAGAAAAAAAACGCCACGTATTCCCAGGACGAGCAACAAGAGAAATTGAGAGAGAGAGAGAGATGGAGGATCTCGAGGGGGAGACGCGGGAGGCAGAAATGTGGCCCGGTATGGTCGTGTCCTTAATTGACAGGCCGTGGTCCCGTGTCCTTCGGGCAGGACGTGGCAGGACCTCGTTAGCGTGGTTGGGCCTCGCGAAAGAGCGGGACAGCCACCAGCGCGATGGCAGTCGGGATGCCATCAGGTATCCACCGATGGGGATTCGAGATGGGCGGGGGGGGGGGGGCAGGGGGAGAAAGGACGTTTCTAAATTAGTCGAGACACATTATCCTCGATAACGCGCTACCACCGGCCGCGAATCGATCGTCGCATACGCGGAATCGAATCCGCGACCTAATCGCCGTAAATTCAATTACGACTCCCTTCGGGCTTCCTCGACTTCCTCGAACCGTTGTCTGACAAGTGCGCTGGCGTCACGAGGGTTAGGAGATTTAGGGACGAGGGACAGATTTATGTTTAAGTGCGTCGTCATCGATGAGCGTTGGACAAGACGCGAATTGATTTTTAGACAAGATTAAAGTACTCCTTTCTACCTTGAATTGTGTATATTAATTGTGGGAATATTTGGTATATATGATGGCTGATAACTTTGATCTCTGACATTTAGAGAAACGTGTCAAATCTTTGCGATTATTCAGCTTTGCGCGAATAATGTAACATTGTTTATGATAACTATTGTGGAATCTAGAGAAAGTATTAATTTATATAAATTTATTCAATTTATTCAAATTTTCTCATTTATCCACAATCCATATTTATACAAATGTATGTATTTTTTCAAACACATACAGACTAATTTTATTATATATTATTTTTTTTTATTAGATAATTTGGTTATTTTTCATTCTAACATCAATCGTAATATGATATGATGATTTTCAAATAATATAAAATCATTCAAATATTAATATATTAATATATTAATAAATTTATTCAAATATTAATATAATTATAAATATATATTTAATCAAATTTAATCAAATCAATAAATATAAATTTATTCAAATATTAATATATTATATAAGTTTATTTTTAAATATTCGATCATCATAATTCGTTTTATAATTGTACATTAGTCTATTTATAGATAAATGATATGACTGAAATAATAGATGCGACATAATTTACATCTTTCTTGTTTACTCTCGATACAAATGAAAAGTACATAAAGTTAATAAGTATAAATAATAAGTGTGAAAAATCATACAATAAGTAACATAAATATAAATAACAATAAACAATAATAATGTAAATAATAATAATAACAGAAATATACATGTGCATTTATATTTTTTATTATTTGTTGTATAATATTATACTTATTATTTATATAATCCTGTAACATTTTTTCGCAGCATAATCATTCAAATATGATTCATGTAATATTAAAGACGAACTGTAAATGATGTTTAATCAATTTCACAACATTTTCGTTATCGTTTAGATCTCGTCTCGCATCTGATAACTTCCTCGCTATTCGTGATACACGTTTCTCTATCCTTAAAATAAAACGTGCTAATTTCCGCCATCGTTCAGCGACCCCACGATACGCGAGCGATTTTACAAGTCGACGAAGAGAGAGAGAGAGAAGCAGCGACGGGAAGGAAGGGTGGTTCGGTTATCGCATCCATTGAAAATCCGCGACATTGAAAAATTGCGACTCCGACTCGCGGAAATGCACGAAACATCGCAAACGGGGACGGGCTCATCGGCTCGAGAATTAAAGCTGGAGCGAGGTAATTAAGCGGTGCGGGGCGAATAATGAGCCGCTTTTAGCGTTAAGGAGCCGGATGGCATCGCGAAGGTGGTCGTTTCCTCTTAATTCGCGATACGCGAATGCGATACGTTCGCGATTCTTACGTATCAGACCCCGTATATTTATATCGCGGTGTTGGAGCGTTTTTATCAAACGCTAACGTTGGAGGCTCGCACGTCGCAATCTCGCGATTAGGCGCTCGGCGGCGACTAATTACCGGTCGATTATCGAATCAGCACCTGCTCGCCCGAGGGTCAACGACACCGACGATTCCCAGACGAGTACAAGTCTCTCCGAAGGAAGACTTTTGATTTTTATTACTGGCGGAAATTTTTCTCCTCTCAAGCTCAATTTTCAATTTCTCGCCCACTCATATCTTCAATCTTTGACAGTCAGATCGATTTCTTTTGAAATTTTATTTAATCTTCAGTTTTGAAAATTCTTGCAAAAATTCTTCTTTTTGGACACGAGATGTAATATATATTATTCATACATATATTTATACATTCTTGAATTGAATTAATGAAAATGTCACTAATTAAAGCGGTGACAATTTATCATTTATTATGATATCTTTAGATCTTAATATAGTCGGATCAATTTCTCTTGAAATTATTTAATCTACAGTTTTATCGAACGCTCCTCTTTTAAAGACACGAGGTATAATATATATTATTCATGCATGTACCTCTATAATCTCTTAAATTGAATCAGCGAAAATGTCACTAATTAAAACAATTTATCATTTATCATAATTCTTTGAAATTTTCACAGTTGACTCAATTCTTTTCGAAATTATTCAATTTCGTCGAAATTTTCCTCTTTTAAAGACACGAGATGTAATATAATTATTCACATATATCTGTACATTCTGTTGAATTGAATTGATGAAAATGTCACTAATTAAAGCGGTGATAATTTATCATTTATTATGATA